ACTTGGGGACTAGAGCCATGGTGGACAGAGCTGAGAGGGAGGGCAAGAAAGGAATACTCTCCCTCAGGATCCCACAAAGGATTGGAACCTGAGAGGTTCAAAGGCAAAAGGACAGATTTTGGTATTGGAGGAAGCGAGTTTTGAGACACCCTAGGAGTTTGTCTCTGTGTCCAAAATAGGAGCAGGACATTGGCTTGTGCACTTACCTGCCTTGGGGAGATAGGAGGAACAGGCCGGACGTCTGTGTTGTTTTGTTTGCTGGGGGTGCCTGCGTCTCTAACGCTGTGTGTGTGCCTGTGTGGGTGTACAGTTCTGTGTGCTGCCTAGAGGGACGGGAGCTAATGGTTATGAAGTGTCTCCCCAGCGGCAGCCTCAGTGCTCAGAGTTTTACTTATGTTTTCTCATAATCCTCCCAACAGCACTGTGAGGTAGGTATTTTAATCTCCATTTTACAGCAGAGAAGACAGGCTCCGTGAAGCTGAGTAATTTGCCCAAGGTCACATGGCAAATAAATGTGTGTCTCTTGAATCTGCTTGGTTCCAGGGCCTGTGCTCTTTTTGCTTTGCTGTCCAGTGTTTTGAATCAGATGCAGGACTTATTGTGGTCAAAAGGCTAGGGCAGTGGTTCTCAACCTTCCTAATGCCGCGACCCTTTAATACAGTTCCTCATGTTGTGGTGACCCCCAACCATAAAATTATTTTCGTTGCTACTTCATAACTGTAATTTTGCTACTGTGATGAATCATAATGTAAATATCTGATATGCAGGATGTATTTTCATTGTTACAAATTGAACATAACTAAAGCATAGTGATTAATCACAAAAACAATATGTAATTATATATGTGTTTTCTGATGGTCTTAGGCGACCCCTGTGAAAAGGTCGTTCGACCCCTAAAGGGATCGCCACCCACAGGTTGAGAACCGCTGGGCTAGGGGGTAGGAAACAGGCCGGAGTACCTTGCACAAAGCTGAAAAGGCACTGTCCAAGGTGCTCCAGGCAAGCCCCAGGAGAGGACCTTCACCAAGGCAAGTCCAAGGTCACTATGCATAGGCTGGATCACTGTATCATAAGACTGGTCCTCCATCCATGCCCTGTTGGTCCCCCCACTGGTGCTTCCCCCACTGGCTTGGGCTCTTTCTGGGAAGGGTTCTCTATATTTGAGCCTGGTTTCTTCGGAACTTCCAGTTGGCTCAGCCTCGCTTGGGCTGACTACACATGCCTGTGCCCCCATGTATGTAAACCATACTCCCTCTGTGAGGGGCACCTCCACCCGCCCAGTCACCAGGTTGGAAATTTCCAAGCTATCTGGGACATCTGCCTCTTATTTCCCACAGCTTGTCATCAAGCCCACTCACCTTCAAATAACTCTGGAGTCCATCCCCTCCTCTCCATCCTCCCTGGGTGGTGGCTGAGCCCAGTCCTCATCCCCCCTCACTTGGATTTCCTTGCTTCTAGTGTATCCTCCCAGCAAGGGCTGAGGAAGAGACGGATTGGGGTTGGGGAAAGTGTAGGCCTCTGCAGTGACCTCTCTTCCTCTCCCTAGCCCAAGGTCCAAGATGAACAGCAGTGTTGGGACCTGGTGTTGGGGGCTGCAACTCCTGGGATGACCCTTCTTGCATCATTGGGGTGCCCATGGCTCACACCTTGGCGCTGGGCCTGGGGCTGTCCCCCAACCCTGGCTGATGTGCTCTTCATGCTCACGCTGCCACTCTGGCTCACCTACTACCTGGGGTGGTCTTTTACCTGTCCACCTACGTGGCAATGGCTTTCGCCCAAACTCATCAGCATGTGCTGCTGCAGCCCAGACCCAGGGTGACCACTGGCCCCGCCCACACCGCTGCCTGGCTGCTCCCCCTCAACCGACACAGTCTTCCTGCTGGTGCATGTGAGCCTGGTGCACCAGCGTGCGGCCAGGACCATGGTGCTGGGGCTTCTGTTCATCTTTGTCCTCTGCCTGGAGCCCTACTACCTGCTGCTGGCTCCTTGGGTGGCCCAGCAGGAGGGTGTCATGGCGCTTGATGTCCTGCACATCTTTAGCATGGAGCTGCTGAGCCTCAGCAGCTGCCTGGACCCTCTGATCTACTGCTTCTCCGTGCCCAGCTTCCCCCAGGACTCCTGGATGCTGAGCTGCCACCGGGAGTGGGGGGAGAGGGGGGGCTGAAGGGGAAGCCTGCTCCTTGGCCTCCCTGCCTGCTTCACCCCGGCCACCCTCCCAGGGGAACTCTGGCTACAGAAAGCTCTTTGGAAGAGCCTAGATTTTCATTCTGACGCAACCACATACACTAGGCCCCTAGCTGGAGCATGGGCCTCCTCTGTAAAAAGGGATAGAACATTCTTTGGAACACGAGTGTTCCCTAGACTTCGCCAACTTTTGGATACAAAAAATAAGCCATTAAAAAAAAATCTCTTGGAATTAAACTCAAGTCCTTAACATGGCCTGCAAAGTTCTGCCTGAGCTGGATCCTGCTTCTTACCCGGCCTCAGCCTCTTCCACCTCTGCCCCCTCCACCGGCTTAGTCACCCTCTCAGGCCCTGGAACAGGCCAGTTTCCTGAGCTCCAAGGCCTTTGCACCTGATGGCCAGGAATGACGTCCTTCCCTTTCCTTCACTAAGTTAATTCCTCTTCATTCTCACTTCCTTAAAAGTAACTCTTATAGCCTTTCTTGACCAGCAAAAAACACACACACACACACGACTGGGTTAGATCTGATCATTCCTTCATAGCTTTTTTCACAATTGTAATTGAGCAATTAATTGGGTAATTCATTGGTTTACTTTTTTTTTTTTTTAAAA